TGTGCTATGCTATGCTATGCTATGCTATGCTATGCTATGCTATGCTATGCTATGCTATACTTATTATATTATATTAATATTTTATTTTTTGTGGCTGGTTGTTATAAACATTCAGAAGTTGATCTTGAATTCCACCGTTCTGAGTTCAAAATATATAAAAGCAATAAACAACAACAAGCAAATAAGGTTTTAGGGGGAGTTTTGTGAAATGCTGACTTCTAAACCATTTGCTTGCTTGATTTCGCTCTATTTTAGAACTGATTCTTCAGATTTGCAACATTTCATGTTATTGTGGCCTTCCTGTACTTTTTTTCATTTATGGGGTGATGTGCATTGGTGTTGCTGCTTATTTGTGTTATCTCTAAAGCAACAAAGGCACAGAGCAGGTGGTAAGAATTAGTATGGGAATGCGTGTGGCTGGAATAGTATTAATATAGGACTAACTTCAGGGAGGCAGGTAATCTAGAACATCTGGACCCATTTGCTAGTTTTCTCCTAATCCAAAGCTCTGTGGGGTCCCTCTGGAGGAGCATGGACTTTCCATTCACCTTAGAGTAACTCCAGGCAGACTACAAGGAGGAACCCTGGGCTGCCCAACTTGTAGATTGATATGTACATGAGAACATTCTTGCACTGTATTGCTCAGGGGTTAGTTAAGCATCACTGGTTTCGGGCAGTTGCTTCGGTATTTTCCAAACCTCTCTCCTTCTTTCTTTTTCTTTGCAACTTAGCTGGATTGAATGAGCAGATGAAAGCAGTGAGGAAAAGAAACGAGACATCTGTAATTGATCAAATTGGAGAAGATTTGTTAACTTGGGTAAACTAAATTTTGTTCATGTGTGTATATATGAGAAACAGCACACGTTTGGGTTTGGTTTTTTGTTTTTTTTTCCTGAGAAGTGAAATGTTTGAGAAATAATAAAAGATTGGCAATGAAACAATAAGTTGAGCTACAGGTCAGCCTTGGCAGTTTATCTTGTCTGGAAACCTATTATCTGAAACTCTTCCATTCTGGGAGAATTTAGTAAAAGGGGGAGTATTAAGGGGTTGGTCAGCATGGGGTATATGTTTACTTCTCTTAAGAAATCTCTAGCTGAGTGACTTTCTTATATAATGAACAGTGTGAATAAGTTAATTTAGCTTAAAGGTGACCTTACCTCTTAAAAAGGAGGACTTGTTTTTATCCTCTAAAAGCTGTTAACAAAGTCAAGAGAACACAAAACCTGGAAGTGGTAGAAAGACAAAGGTATTAAGCATCTTGGAGAGTTTTAGGCTGTAAGATCTCACCTTAGTTTTTGGATTCAAGAAAGAACTTTTAAAATACAAAAGTGCTGCAAGTATTAATGCATTAATAAGGGCGTTCAGCTACTCAAGATTCTCTAAAAAAAAAAAATGAGGCATGCTGGTATTTAATAGGCATACATTTTATGATACATTATCATTTAATCTTAAGAGCTTTCCATGTACAACTCACAAGTTATAATCCAAACCCTTACTTCCCAAAGTTCATGGAAGAGGAGGGAAGGAAAGAGGAAAGAGGTGTTCTTCTGATGAACTGGCCAGCATAGATGTATGTTTTATCCCCAAGCGTCCCTTTGCTATCTAAATAATTGTTCGTGCTAGCGTTTCTACCTGCAGGTGACTGTCCTTGTATTGCCTTTCTTTTTTATGTTTGGTACCTGTGGATTCTCATCCCAGTTCAGTGGAGCAGGCGAAGAGAAATTGAAGCAAGCCACTGCTACCTTCTGTAGCAACCAACCCTTTGCTCTGGAGGTGATCAAGTCACGGCAAAAGAAGGACTCTCGCTTCCAGACTTTCGTCCAGGTAAATATTTTGGGGTGTGGCATCTAGCTGATCCCTGCTGTAGGGCTGCTGGAGATTGGAGGTGAGGACAAAGTAATGGGTTATACTTTATCTGTTTGGGCATGAACTATTCTTTGCTGTAACTTTTGATAGAATAATCCAGTGAATGTGGGGATTGCTCCCAGTTGCTGTATAAGAACAGATGAGAGCTACTGAATAGCCTTCCCTTTAGGGCAGCTCTGGGATGAGTGCTAGCTCATTCAGATTCATGTTAGCTTCCTGAGCCTTCTGGGAGTCAATTTATAGGCTGGAAGACAACCTCTCACACCTAAGCTGCTGCAGGAGGTGTAGCTCTCCATTTCCAAAGTAGAGCTCTTCAAAAAACTCTGAGGCTGAGTCCTGTTTTTTAAAAAAAAAACAGTGAAGGAGAATAAGCATAGCACCGTTGTTGAGGACTGAGACAGGAGTAGTGCCTCTTTGCTAATTTTCTAGGCTCTGCGGTTGGGTTTCTAAAATATTATGTATTTTTTACATGGAGCAAAAGACTAAACTGCCTGTTCTTTAAGCCTGAGACTGAGATTGATTGCTGGCAATGTCAAGTCTGAAGTAATGAGGAAAGGAAGCTGTTACCAGGTTTTGTGCTGGACCTTTCCTCTGTAATTGCCCACTAGAATAGGATGTGTTTGCATTTCTGATAAATCCTGGTGTCCCTTAACTTGTATTTAGTAGCCTGAAATGTGAACCACTGAGACATTTATAGGGCGGTATCCATTCCGGTAATTATTGTCTTAATAAGAATGACAAATGCACTGACGCTTTTTCAATTTAGGATGCTGAGAGCAATCCACTCTGTCGCCGATTGCAGCTAAAAGATATCATTCCCACTGAGATGCAAAGGCTGACCAAGTATCCCCTCCTGCTGGATAATATTGCAAAGTACTCAGGTACCACGTAACTCATTTTGTTTGTGACTGGATTGGGACCTGACAGTCACAAAGAACAACTTGGGTTCAAAATGAAACCCAAATTAACTAATTCTGTTGAAAAATATGAGTTCCTGCCCCTATTTCATTATTGCTTCATCCTTCTGAGATGCCCATATAAAGGAGAGAAATTATTGTAATCAATAATTATTGATTACATGATTACAAAATTAGAGCGTTAACTGTGAAATAAAGTATTGTGAGCATTCACTTTTGCCATTGCCATTCCTGCCTTTTTGCATTCTTATTAGCTGTAACTTTCATGCATGAATATCATAAAGCATTGATACAACGTTCGGCTTTATAATTTGCTTTTTAAAAGGAGCTTGAAGATGTGGGGCTTTCACATTTTGTTTTAAGAACTGTTTTGTGGATGGAAATGAACACACTGCTGGCTGTTGGAAGTCTAATATTACTTTAGTATGGTTGCTCCCTTTATTACAATGAAATGTGATTACCAAACTCAGGGTGTTTTTTTTAGCCCGTGTAGTCAGAATATATTATAAGAAAAAAATTAACTACTTTCACACACACACACACACACACACACACACACACACACACACAATTGAAAATTTAATTAAATCTTTTGGAGCATAACAACTTTAATGTGTGAAGTTATGTTTTTCTTTCTTATTGTTTCATTTTTAGAGCAACCTTTAGAGAAAGAAAAAGTGAAGAAAGCAGCAGATCATTGTCGGCAGATTCTCAATTTTGTGAACCAAGCTGTCAAAGAAGCAGAGAACAAGCAGGTAAGAAGAGGGAGATGTAACTCAGTTTTCAAAAGCTAAAGGGACTGTTGACTGTGATATGGGTTTATAGTAATAAATGAGAAGACTTCTATCTGTCCTTTGTTTCAAAAGGGTTCCCAGATTGACCGAGTTCTTATGGGCTGTTGCCTACCTTCAGCCAGTTGGCCTTGGCCAAAGTAACTGACTTGATTTTGTCTTTTCTCAATAGCATTTGGAGGACTATCAGCGGCGGCTTGATTTGTCCTACCTGAAGCAGGTGGAGGGCCCTTTGCTGGATGAATTCAGGGTGAGTGGAAGAAGATAAGAGGGAACCCTGAAATCTGCTAAGCATTCATAAATGTAGTCCGTAGCTCTTTTTGCTTCTGTTTATGAACGTGAATGTTTCTACCTACTTTTCCCGCCATTTAAATCATGGGGTATGTATTGGTGGTTATATTTGGATTCTGTATTAAACAATATATTACTTAGTTGTGTTAACTGTGCTATTTCCTCTCCTTGCTACAGAATGTTTTTCACTTTATAAGCTGTACTAGATGTTCAGAGGCAAGTAACAATAGAAAGCCAGTTTGCTTGTATGATGAAGATCAGTGGGCTTCACCATTTATTGCCTGCTGCTATAGACAGTATTTGGTATTTTTGGCTGAAAATGTATTTGAGTTTAAGTTTGAAAGGAGGGAATTTTTTTAAATCAGAACTTGACTAAAAGATCTGAAAATCACATATTAGGGTTTTTTTTCCATGACTTTCTATAATGTAACATAGATCTCTTTCTGATTTCATTATATATTTTATTAGCCAAAATAATAGCAGGCAAATAAGAGATTTTGTATTGAATTTTTGAATAATTTAAACTGGAATCCTATGAGGTTCTCACCTACACATTAGGTACGCTTTAAGAAGTATTTACCAATGTGTTCCCATTTGGTTAATGCAATTCAAGTAAATACTTCAGATGTTAACCATGACTGTATCTGAGCGCAGTAAAAATGCTTCAGTGTTTCTTTTCCCCCAGTAGCTGTCTCCTCAGAAAGAGTGGCACTAACTGTTGGTCCAGATAACCTGCATTTTCCATTATAAAAAGGTGTTCACTGTGATCCCTCCTATATCCTAACATTTCTTCCTCTCTTTTAATACCTCAGAGGAAAAGAACAACATTTTCTAGATGTTAGACCATTGTGTTTGCTTTTTGAATATCCTCCCTTTTCATCCTTTGACAAGAGCAGAAATAAGACTTTGTAGGTCTCCTTTACAAAGTGGATTAAACTGTGGCAGTTACAGGCCTGTCAGATTCTGAGGAAGACTCTACCTCCTTGGATTTCTAGCTCCCTCCCTCTAAGAAATACTACTACTTTTCCGACTGGTTGAACTAGACTTTATTTTGAAGAGGGTCTGTAAGGTAGTAAGTTGGTGTCCTGTTTATTCTCTCACTTCAAACTTGACTTTTTTGCCTCAGATGAAGTAGCCTTTAGCTTCAAAATGCAAGTTAGCCATGAACTCCCCTTCCCCTTCCTCCTCTCCCTGCCTTTTGTATCTGTGGAAAACTGCTCCATTGCATCCAGTCTATGGACTGTGAGATACTGAACAGCAAAAAGAATGGAGAATTTTACCTACCTTGGAGTTCTTCTCTTTGATCACCAAATTGTGGCCCAGTTTTGCTCAGAACACAGATGGACCTGGATTTATCAGCAGGGTGGATCAGGCCATATAAAATAAGAATTACTGCCTAAAAGGTAGTTGGGGGGCTTGAAAGGGAAATATGGAGTCCCTTCTAGTCCATCTTCTCAGGTTAGACTTCTTTGGTACAAAAGCACCTGCCTACTTATGGAGTGAGATAATCAGAATCACTCTTCGCCTTTGTCTGGTGAACAAATAAGATGATGTATAGGTATTAAAAGATCTCTGCTATTGGTTCCTCAAGTTTGTGATGGTGATCCTTCTGATAAATATTTGAAATTTTATTTACAGTCAGTGAACAGCAAAGTAGTTTGGACACTAAGACAACACCTAAAAGGTGAAATACAATAAAAGCAATACAACTCTAAGGGCCTGCCAGTTAAAATTGATAAATATTATTTTTTGCCTTTTTTTTTTTTGGGTAGAATTTAGATTTAACCAAGAAGAAAATGATTCATGAAGGTCCTCTGACTTGGAAGGTGAATCGTGACAAAACTATTGGTACGTTGTTATTTATTATTTTCTAAGAGATTTGTAGGACGTGGGGGGAAATGAGAATGTTACTAATTTCCTTAGAACTGATTAAGCAGTGAGTATTTTGAAATGGGTTGGAAGATAATAAAGACCAGTGCAGGGACACAGCAGTGATTTTCAACTAGTTCTCAGAACTACAGATGGGTCTAAATGCTTTGTATGCCTGGCTGAGAAAGTTTACAGCTTATTATTGCTTCTGCATGGGATGCAGCCTTCAATGTCTGCCCGGTAGAATTGATAACCCATTTCTGTTTTTCTCCTACCATTGCAGACCTCTATACATTGCTCTTGGAAGATATTCTGGTATTGTTGCAGAAGCAGGATGACAGACTGGTGTTGAGATGTCATAGCAAGATCCTGGCTAATACTGCAGATAGCAAGCACACATTTAGCCCTGTTATTAAACTGAACACTGTGTTGGTTCGCCAAGTGGCTACAGGTTAGTACAGCTGAGAATGCTAACTGGTTCTAACGTTGTTTTGAAAAAAATGTGTTGTCTAATGCGGTCATTGTCCAGGGGATAAAGATGGGATTCAGGGAAGGATAGCAAGCTGAAAATCATTGCTCACTAAGAAGAACCTTGATGTTTCTCTTAAGTTTGCCAGAAAGCACCTGGGTGACCCTCACTCTTCTGACAAAATGTTTTATGGGCAGGTGAGTCAATGGGCAGATGAGTCAAAGCTGGAACTCTTCAGGCTATATGGATGTCATTATGTCTGGTGGACACAGAGAACTGTATTCCACAATAACAGCCTCGTACAGTTGGTGTAGGCAATGTCATGGATTGCTGTCTCCTGACCTTGGATGTCTAGCCGTCATTGAAAGAAGCATATCAGGCCAACTGTCTGTTAACTGAAGTTGAAACACAAATAGGTCATGACTCATGCAATCAGGGCTACAGGAAAATGAATTAAGAACAGATTTCAGGTTTTGGGAAAGTCAAAGCCCATTAAAATGTGGCAAGGCAGTTCATCATGGCAGAATGGGCCAAAATTCCTACATAGTGATGTGAGAGACTTCATCAGTTAAGGGGAGCATTTGGCTACAGTTCTTGTAACTAAAGCTGGCACAACCAGTTACTGTGGTGTTTCTCAGCCTTGGCAACTTGAAGATGTGTGGACTTCAACTCCCAGAATTCCCCAGCCAGCAAAGATTACTGAATCTATTAAAATTGTTGAGGGCGGGGCATCAAAATGGGGACTAGGGAATGCCCTGCAGTATTGGGATAAGTAAGATGGGAGTGTCTCTGGGATTCTCTTAAGAATTATAAAATCCATGTAGTTTGGCTACAACCCTGCTGGGTTTTCTATATCTTCATTCTGCTGCTTAATAACCACCTCAGCTTTTTCTGGGGAAAAGCCATAGGAGAATAATATTCTTATGATATTCTGCTACCAGGCAGGTCTATACCCATCAGATGTTATTAACAGAAGCAGCCCTGTTAGAATCCAGTTAAATAAAAATGCTTGCCAGAGTTTGGCTTCTGTTCTTAAAAAGCTGGCTTCTAGTCTCAAGTCTTCATTTAGGATGTATTCCTAATTGCCCTTCTTTGTAAGGACCCAAGTTGGAGAAAGGGCCTAATTAAGTTTCATATTGAAGTTGTGTAATTGGTTTTTCCAGCAAATAGTGTAATAGATGCTTTAATAAAACCCCTGACCTGTGAGAGTGAAGTGTTAGAATTGCTGCTGCATTCCTTTGGGCTAAGACAAAGGGATAACTAATTCAGCTATTTAGTTTCTGGAGGATAAAAAAAAAAAAAATCTTAGATATTTGAAGCACTTAATATATATCAATAGCATCCATGTGAAGCTCTGAAATTGTTCAGTGACAAAAATGCACAACAATTCAGGGGGGATTAACTTTTTCATAGAACTTTATATAAGTAGAAGTGAACTGTATGCCTAACCATTTCTTCTGCCCCCTTCCTGTTCACCTGTTCAACAATCCTTAATGCAAAATGGCCCACATCAGCCATGACACCTGGGCTAGGGTTTATTTTGTACAGGGGAATTGATGTAGGAAATATCACATTAATAAAAGAAGTGTATTGAGGGAATGTATAGCCACATAACTTATTCCCAGTTTAGGAAACCAGAATTTAAGAAACCAAGTTTATCAAACCTGAGTTAATTAGTTGAATGGCTAGGACATTTATTTATTTATTTATTTATTTATTTTATTATTAAATTTGTATGCCACCCATCTCCCCCAATGGGTGACTCTGACATGGCTGCATTTCTGCGTACAATTATTTCTTATAACTCTGTCATACTATGTTCTTGAATGATTGGGTGACTGAAGGTAACAGGTTGCACGGCATTTCTTATCATTTCCGTACCTGCATATTATGCCCAATGGATAAGAACTAGTTCAGAACACACTTTATAAAACAGGTGGAATTCACTGACTGTTGGAAAAGTTGACTGGGGAAAAGAGAAATTGTGCTCTATCAGTTCAAGCTGTGCAACTGAAGTCCATTCTAAACTCATGTAGTTTCTATGGCAATTACTGTCTTTCTACTCAACTCTATCTGAAATGCAAAGCTGAATCCTAGTAAAACAAAATATTTAACTTGCTCTTTGTTTCTCCAGATAATAAAGCATTCTTTGTCATTTCCATGTCGGAAAATGGAGCACAGATTTATGAACTGGTGGCACAGACAGTTTCTGAAAAGACGGTGTAAGTAGGCTTGGGCAGTTTCTGCAAATGCAGAGTATTTATCACTTGTTAAGGAAGGAAATAAATATTGTGCTCCAAATCTGTGAAGTAGCTTCCTGCTAAAAGTTGTAGGGTTCCCTGTACAACTCCATGAGAACTTTTCCTCCCATTATGGCATGTAAAGTCATCCTTCTCTCATGCTGATAAAAATAGAGCATAGATTAGGGGAGATTTAACTAAGAAACAAAACTGAGGTCCATGTAGTATCCCATATTTAGGCCAACCTGGATTAATAACATATTAGTCAACAGCAGGGCTTTTCAAAACTTGTAGTAGGAAATATTTGTAGTCTTTAGCAATATATACTGTATATAGGGCCGTCTTTCATCAATTAGGCAAAACATTGGACAGTTTGTATTTCTGCTGTCCTTTGAGAAGCAGTACAGAAAGGGTTTTCTTGCCCTGTATTCTGCTAAGATTTTTATCTCAACTAGTTCAAGAAGACCACACCCGTATGAAAATTAGGGATATGCCACTGTTCAGATTCAGGCAGAAAAGGTACTTCAAAGGGATGTGGGCACACTCACTACACAGAGACTCTACAACGACCCTGCATACATAGAAAAAGCCACAGTATCTTAAATGGAGCCCTGACAGGATAAAGCTTGTGTCCACCTCTCCAAAATGCCATTTTTCCACTTTGGATCTGAATATCTGCATATCTCTAATGAAAATCCAGACAGCAGTTTTGTTCATGTCTCTGTAGCTTTGTATGTAATTGTTGGGAAGAAGTGAGGATAGCAGCTGCTTATGAACATGCCTGTCCATTAAGTTATTACAGCACAGTTGACTTTTAGCCCAGTGAGACGGAGACCAAAATGACCTGTGGCTAGGGGACAGAGAAGAAGATGTATTTTGGTAGAATAGTATTTCTTTATTTTTGCATTATTATAGATGGCAGGACCTCATAGTACGGATGGCAGGAACAGTCAAAGTTGGAAGAGGCAGGAATGTAATTCCATTGCCACAATCAGGACCATGCGAGTAAGTTGAAAAAAATATACATGTGTGAACATATAAATAATAGAGATGTTGGTTTGTTTTTAATTCAGTATATCCTTTGACTAAGCAGGATCTTCTTTTTAAAAAGACACAAGTTATGAGTGAAGATTCCAGAACTGCATGTGGTTGATTTGTCTTCCTTCTTTGACTTGCAGGGAAGATCACGAGGAAGAAGATGACCAGCATAAACTGAAGGAAGAACAAACTACCCCAGATAGCAGCAAGCAAAGTCCAGGTAAAAGCTAAGTGTGGATTTCATTACACTGTTGCTTATATTGGATAACTTCTACGTGATTGAAGTCTTTCTTGATTGAAATGAACCTTTCTGGAAAATTATCTTAGACAGGGTATGGTACAAAATTTGGCAGATGTGTTCCACTTCTTTCTTCCAGATACTCAGTAGCCGAAGGTACATTAATAGTTTTTTTAATTCTGTTTGGCATACGTTCTCCACCTCCAAAGATTTGGAAGCTCATAAATGTTTAACTGTCTAATTATAAGGTTTCCAGTTTAAGCTATCCCTTCAAAAGAAGATATAAGAATTAAAGAGTTGACGATAATGTTATGTATTTGTTCATGTTTATGCTTTTTTTTAAAATTCTTGCATTCATTTTGACATGTGGTTTGTTTGTTAGATAAAGATCTGGGGTTGGAATCTCCCCTGGAGCTGAAGACTCAGTCTCCTTCAATAGCCATGTCTGAGAAGTCAGAAGAGGAAGAACTTCTGGAAGCCAACAAGCAGTTTGGAGAAAAACTATCAGCCGACTTGCTGATCAAAGAATCAGCTGAACACTACAGCCAGATAAGCCCAGAGCTCTCATTCCAAGCTTCAGAAAATCGATGGGCATTGGATGCACTAAGAAACTGTAAGTAATTGAAAGTACATGGACTTAAAGGCCTAGGTGAGAAAATCTGATGGATTTAGAGGTATCTATTGCCCCTTGAACAGTTGAAGATAATCTGCATTTCAAACATTGTGTAAAAGAAAATCAAACATAGACCATTACTTAGGGATGGTGCTCACTGCTCTCTGAAACTATGTTTGTTGCATACACCATTCAACTGAATTTTCATTTTAGTGAAATAGACCCAGTGGTGATCTCTAAGGTACAGTTATAAGTGTGTCTGTAAAATGCATGTTAAGGTGATACAATTCTTCAGTTCCAATTCAGACTATGATATCTTACATGCCACTCTAATTGCTGGTAAAATACTTGTCCCATATGACTCGGGGTTGTAACTTAGGAATATGAGATTGAGCCATCACAATCTGCTGCCTTAATAGCATCATTCTGATCTCATAAGACCAAACACGCCAGAAGTTTGTTCCCATGATGGTCACCAGAAGTCTCTAAGGAATCCCACTGGCATCAGGAGAACACAATGGAGCCTTCTCACTGTGTTCTCAGGCAATTGATATTGGGAGACTTACTGCCTCTGATTCTATAAGTAGTATGTAGCCATCCTGATTAGCTACATCTTTGATAGATTTATCAAATCTCTTAAAGTCATCCAATGACCATCGATACACCTTTTGACAATGAACCACCTTCCAACTCCCTAAGCTGTAGGAGGTGTTGAGTTGCAAGAGGATGAGCCAGTTACTCTTTCATTCCTTAGGCATATGACTGTATTCCAATAATAATGCCAGTGTTGAGCTTATTGTCTTCTGCTTTGGCTTAGCTTTCCCTAAACTAAGTAAAAGATGACTTGGACTGTAACTCCTAACTTCTCTGACCCCTGGCCATTCTGTTGAAGGTTGATGGCAGTTAGTGCCAGGCTGGAGAAATCTGACTTCTGTCTTCCAGCTTCTCAGGCAAGGCGATGACAGTTAGTGGCTCTTTCCCAAGGGCTTTGGGCTCCTGCATCTTGATTGATGCATTCAAGAAGAGAGAATACTTGCCAGGACGTTACCATGATGCTCTCACATTTCCTTTCAGTGGGTTTATTGAAGAAATTACTGATGCGGCAGCTTGGTGTGTCTGAACAAGAGTCCCTTGAAGACTGGCAACATTTTTCTGACCATAGGAGAGTTCTGCCAGGGGCTCCTGAGGAGAACATTGTCCAGGGAGGACTTCAGTACTCAGATAATGGTGACAATGCCCTGTCTGGGCCTAGAAGGACACCCACTGGCACGAAAAGAAGTGATTTTGAACTTAGTTGTGGTAAATGGTCTTCAAGTGAATTGGTATCACCAGGGGACCCTGTGTTGAATAGCAGTCAGTTGATGGATCCCTTGAGCACAAACCCAGAGCCCCCAACCAAGGAACTGGAAGGAGGAACAAGTGCTGCTGATGATGGTGGGGAGCACTTTTTTGATGCTCAGGAAGCCCACAGTGATGAGAATCAATCAGAGGGTGAAGTGGTAGATGGGAAGGAGGTAGAAGAGGTGCAGCTGCGGATCTCAGGTGAGTCAGTCCATCAGTGTACAAGTCTGAAATGAACTACTGATGGAGTTATAAAGCTCCTGGATGCTGTTTGGAACAATTGGAGTGCTTTTGAGCCATAGCAAGACCTAGAGTATATGCTAAATGCTGAAGTTCATCATGAAGCATGTTCTTAGTAGTTGAGAGTATCTCTGAATATGTGTGAAATGCATTGGGAGAGAAATAAGAAGTAGAATTTGGAGATGTGGGGTCAAGCTTCCAGCCTTTGGCTGCCTCATCAGGTTTGGGCCTTTTTCCCTTGCCCTTTTGGACCAATGAAAGATTGATTAAGCCCAATTAGATTCTCCTTCTCCCCAGCTGAAATCCCATTAGGATTGCCAGTTCTCTATATGTCCCACACTTTTAAGAAACAGCATGTTTTTTCATCTAACATAAGTGGTGCCTCTCTCTAGCAGCTCCCTTCTTTCTTCCAGAGAAACAGCAAGGGCAAAGTATGGTGGGAACTAGTTGGCAGTTGTACAACTTCATAACAGAGTAGCAGAACTGTTAGGACAGGAAGTTTGCACGAGGCATACAGACATATGTAGATTGGGTTGTGTGCTCACCCAGGCCGTTCATAAATGGGAGCATTAATGTTGTTATTCTCTTCTCAGGAAATTATTTGATCCTTGATGGATATGGCACAGTACAGGAGAGCTCTACCGACGAGGAGGTAACGTCGCTGGTTCTACAGTGCACTGCAGACAAAAGCACAATGGACTCTGCCCACCAACAGCTCATGTCTCAGGATGCCCACCCAGTTACCGCAAGCTCACCATTTGCAGAGGAATTGCTGGCCTCCCACTGGGAAGCTACAAAGGAATCCTGCTCAGATGCACGAAGGCCTTCCTTCTCGGTTGAGTCGCGTGCCTTGATGATGCATTACATCCAGAACATAGAAGCCAGCCTTCAGCATTTGAAGGTAGAGGGTGTGCTCATGTAAATGGATTGTCTTTGGGCTATATATCTTTTTTTTAAAAAAGGGTAGAGTTAGGGATTGGAGATTAAGAGGTTTGCTGGGAATAAGTCATGCTGAGGGGTACATGTGTGTTTATCTTCTTGACTGATTTTCACACTAGCTTTTCAAACTAATGCTCAATTCTGTGCTATAAATTCTAAGATCAGGAGAATCAGACATTGTCCAGAATTTATATAATTATGTCTGTGCCTTTACTCACTGGGTTACTCAAGATTTAAAGATTTGTTCTAGTTTTCTGAGACAGAGAAATGACAAATGAAAACCTTGGAATAACCCTGGAGGAAGACAAGCTTTCATGTCTCGGGAATGCAAATGAATGTTAGGAATGGCTTTAGGGTCAAGCACTGTATTGAAAGTATCCTTATAAAGCCTAGAGGACTGAAATGTAAAGGCTGAAATCAATGCTGATTCATTGAAGCCAAGATGTTGAAACTTCCGAAAGCCAAAATTAAACAAGAACCTGTTCAAGTCTTAGAGGCTCAAAAAGAGAAGAGTCAATATTTTATTGAGAGGAATCCAGCAGAGTCAAAAGTCACTACAGTAAGATCAGAAGGAAAGATTTGAGGAGAGCATAGTGTCCTAGAATTTTTGTCTTCCTGGATTCAGAAAATCCAAACTGATCTCATCTCTGGACTTCCCTCCTTTTTATGGAAGCAGTACTTATCCCAAATATGTATGTTAACTGATAGTTTCCTTTGCAATCTTTTAACGATCTGAGAAGCCAAAGAGAATTGAAAACCATGTGCCACTCTGTGAAACGTAAAATTTCTGTGTATAGAAAGTGTTCATTCTCACTGAATAAGCTTGGAAATTTTTTTCCAAGGTAATGGTCAGTCATGAGGACATTAACCTTGGCTTCACAAGCTTGGTCATAGTTGCTTGCTGTGCTACAGATCAGTGTGACCATTCATTGGTGGCCTTTTCTAGGCACCAACCTCACAAGTTGGTTGGGGTGCAGTTTGTGCAAACAAGGTATAAGCTGAAGTGGGGTTTAGTCCATGAACAGATGGTCTGGGATTTAGACCAGTCTTCTAGATGAGGAGGGAGAGGACTATTGGCTTGAATGTCTTTGCTGCACAAGATGCTAGGAAGCGCACAGTTTCATGGTTGTGGCAGAAAATGCACAATAGCCGCTTAAGGAGGAGATCGAAACATGGACAGTCCACTGCAAATGAGTGATAACTTATGGGATGGGGAAGATGATCCCTATAATGAGTGTATTCCCATGCTCCTTTCAAAGGCAGCCTGTATTAACTTCTGCCAAACCTGCAAGAAGATTGCCATATCTAGAAGAAAAATAGCTGAAAGGAACTGGATCTGTTCTCTCCTCAGCATTGGAAGTCCCAGTGATGGCTTGAGAATGGAGCCCAGGGTTTGTTTCAGAAGGTAGACAGCCAGCGCCAGACAGATTAAGTTGGCTACTTCCCGGTAAGGGCCACTGCTCAACCGTGTATGATGGATTGTGTCTTTCAGGAAGTGGAGGAAAACTACACTGCTCTCCTTCAGCAAAGGCTGGGTGGCTCCATCACCACGGATGAGCATTCGGGTATGTTTGTCCCTTTCCTCTGATAGCTTCTAAATAGGAGTGTAATGTGTTAATAATTCGCGGGCTTTAGCTCCAAGGGAAGCTACTGTGTGGTGCTGGTTGAATTCTTCAGTTTTCATGACACTTCCAGAATTTTTTTAAACTGGTTACCCAACATTATTAATCAATGCCTAAGTCTGCTGATTGTGCATTTCTGGCCTTGCATCCTCTCTGCTCAGCATTTTCCCTTTTGCTAATTGTACTTGTGTCTCTGTCTAAACGAAGATGCACAATCCAGGGCTCCCAAAAGTCTTTGTTGCCACATTTTTATATAGTACATTATTAAACGCATTGAGTCAGGGATAAACATGGTGGCAAGATTTAATCTTATTTAAATGTTAATGAAACAAAATTAAATTTAGTTTGTGGAGAGATGTCCTTGGCATGCCACTCGGAGGCCAAGTGTAGTCCCTCAGCCCGGAAGAGGCTGCACACCCCTTAATTAAAGGAACAAATGCATCTAAAGAGCCAATTGGGGAAAAGAAACTGAAAATGCTTCCAAAATCATTTCCAGGTTCAGAATTTTTACAGAAGTTTGGAAATCAGTAAACTTGGACAACAGATGTCACTTTCTTGTAATTGAAGGCCTTCTGGGTTAGATTTGTGTCTGCTCATCCACATGATCCACATAGCCTACAACTCCTGCATATTGCCTCTATTTTAGTCAGAAATCTGTGAGAATTCTGCCCCATCTTCATATAAGCATTAGTTAAATTGCAGTGACTAAAAAGATGGGAGAAATCGTAATTGTCACATTCTTTTTCATGAAACTACCATGAGTGGAAATGTGGAAAGAAATCATATTTCTGTACACATTTAATAATTTGCAAAATTCTGATCCTGAGTATCTTGTACACTTCTGATAGAGACAAGCAAGGGGATACATTTCTTTTATATCTTATGCTAAGCTGTGCTTTACTGAATAGGCTACAAATGACAGTATATGGAGCCATAAGTCCATGGCTTACAAACCAGAGTGGCCGGGTTTATATGTTGTACTAAGCCCAAATCAAATCACTTTATAGCCTAGTGTAGCGTATGACCCTATATACCTAGTGCAGTGATTGCGACTTGGTAGTGGTGCACACATCATACAATCCCTTTCAGCTGTCCCACATCTCTGAACTCCTTGGTGGTTCTTGGTTCCTTTACAGCACTTTTTTCTGGTTCTGTTTTTGTCCTCAGATAAAAGTTAATCTCACTTCTTGCAAATGGCTGGAGATCGGATGGAACCTTCTGCCTTGAGTCAGCCTCTGCTAGCCTCAGCTGGCCTCTGCCTGGACTCTCTTGGCCCTAGGCCTCTTTCTACGGACCCTTCAAGTGTGAGGGGACTCCACATAGTGGAGAAGTGGGCAGTTTCCTTTGAGGTGTCTGCACTAGCCTTTCAGGGAGAGGGGGCGATTTGGTTCCCCTCCTCTTGCTACCAGAAATTCTTTTTGATTCCAAACGGAGGAAAAAGAGGAACAGAAAGAAGAAACCAAATGTATAAAGTTCTGGGTGTAGGATATAAAAATGTATCTAGACATTAAAAAAAAATCAGTGTATTTATTTGACTTCATTCCGTGTACTGAAAGCACACTTTAATTTGTATTTTATTTTGCTTTAAAAAAAAATGATAGTGCCAGTTTGCTAGGCCCCCAGCATCTTTCTTCTCCCCAACCTTTATTCTGAACTGAGTTGCATGTGAGTGTGTCTTGATTTTCCCCCGGATTCTGCCAGCAGCCAGTCTGTTCCTCAGTAGAGTTATTCATGGAACAAAATCTAGCAGCACGCAGATGGGCTTTCTTCTCGTGCAATTCTGTGTGCACTATGTAGCCAGGAAGGATTTGAAACTGGCAACCAAATTTCTCTTTGGGAATGCCTTTACTTTTCCTGTATTGAATAAAAAGAGGGAAAGATTGGAATTTGGGAGATATGTTCCCTGCCTGGGTACTGATTTGATTGTGACTCCCTTCTGAAAGCAACAGCTTGACATTTGTAGCTTTTGGGGGTGGGCATGGGGTATTTCTCCAGTTAAGGGCAAGCAATATATTTGTCAGAAATTCCTGAGGTCACCATGTTTTTAATGAGCCGTGAGCAGTAACTACTGCAGAAGTTAGCCACTGTTTTTTGAAGGTAGGGGCCAGAAATGTTCATTACCCAAAAGTGTGCCTTACTGACTAGTGTGGGGTAGACCAAGCAAGACTTAGCTTGGAATAGTGCTATTTTGCCCTTTTTTATGCAAAAGTGCTCTGAAATCATACTAGTAACTGAGAAACATCTGCAATAGAAGAATCAGAGTAACAGATACCATCTCTGGTATAACCTCAGTAGAATGCTGATATCCTGATGTTTTGGAGCTGGACCTTAACAAGCTTCACAGCACTGATGTAAACATTAGACACTGGGTGGGTTGTCTACATCGGGTAGATTGTTTTTCCATCAGGACAGATGATTCAGGGTACATCTCCCTGTGGAGCATTCCTTGCAAAACATTTCTGTCTGCACCAGCTATCTAGTTCTTGAGTCCTTTCTTTTTCCTGGCAAGCCAGATCTAAATGTGCCAAATTCTAGAAAACCCTTTAATGTTTTTTTAATCATGCTAAATGCACTGTGAAGTGTAGAGAATCTTCCTTTTTTCTTATTTTCAGCATGAATGTCATATGCTATGCTCCATTAATGCAGAAAAATATTTTTCCTGTAGCCAGGAATCTAAATCTGTTTCCACTTGCAGGAAAGAGTCAGGCTGAGGAGGAACTTTTTTTAAAAAAAATTTTTTCCCCTTCCTCAATATTTCCAGTCAAAGTACTGGTGCATAGTTAAGGGAGGAAACTTCCCAGTTGACTGGGTCACCAAGCTCCTTCAGAGGCTGGAAGCCACCAAAAACTCAAAAGGAATTCCTTTCAGCTTCTCGTTATCAGGGCCAGTCTGTTGGTTCTCATTTCTAAATTTCTCCACCCTAAAACTCGAAGCAGTTTCCCAAATGGAAATGTATTTTAAGAAGACCAGACCCATATCACAGATGACCATGGTTTTAAAAGTGTTTTCCCTGTTTTCAAAGGCGTATTTTCCTTGGTCTCTGAACTGTGTTTTGGTCAGGTGAGTGGCATTTTCACCTTCCCATGCTGCAGTTCCACATCTGTGGAGCCATAGGAAGTCAGGCTCATGCGCAGACCTTTCTCTAGCATAGGTAGGTTTGAAGGAGCCAGAAATCAGTAAATTTTTGGTGACGCTTGGATGCCAGGCTCTTTACGTATATTGTGGCAAGACCTGTGCCTGCTCTCGTACCTCTGCCGTACGTTGTGTCAGCATCCTTAAAAGACATTTGGGGTCAGGATGCCAGAAGGCCATGCAGAGCAGCAGAATGCAGAAGGGCCATCGGAAGGCTTGATTGACCTCAATAGAGGATATAACTGCCTTTTCCCCCGCTTACTGGAGAGTAAAGCAGAGTACTGTGTTCTTGTCCTACTGGTGGTTTCTTTGTATCGTGTGTGTGTGTTTTTCTGTTACACAATCTCCCGTTAAGGGCATTATTTTGTGATAAGAAAGAGAGGGTAGCGAGGAACAGGGATCACCGATTGTTTCCAGCAGCATCACTGACTGTCACAGGAGATGTCTCGGCTCCCTAGCACATCTACTGTACAACAGGCCCCGGGCACAGATCCATTTTTGTGAAGAGGGTCCACACTAAAATGCACTTTGTGGGATTCCCGTTGGAATTGGTCTTTCTGTCTTTGTGTCCTAGAACAGCCATGAGGAATTCCAGCCAAAGAGACCTTCCCTGTCCTTCCCCACTGGCTGCGATCGTTCCCTCCTTGGGACCGGAGAGTAGGATGGAGCAGTCTTCTTCCCCCTCAGCCCTCTTCTTTCTCCCTCCCACCCTTTGCTAGCTGAAAATAATATAAGTAATGAAAGACTTTTTTTTTTAACCAGAGAATATTATGTTGTCTGCGCTACAGTCCTATTTAGGATGTCTTTGTTTTTAATCTGGATGTATCAGACCAGCGTATTGGAACTGGGGCTCAAAAGGCAAACTCTGATTCTAGAGGCAGCTTCGTGCCCTGCTGGTTTGCACGTCCTTTGACTTTATACCCAAGATGAGGTGAGTTGGTAGAATACTGATGGGAGAGTGGACTGTTTCACATTGCTCAGGGAGGTAATTGTCCAGGGCCATAAGAAGCCAGAGATAACATTCGTAAAAGGGATTCTGCTTTCCGACAGTAACAGGCAGGCTAAAGCAACCTTCGGTATTTTGCAGTGATGGTGCTTTAAACGGCCAGATGCCACTCTTCAGCTCTGAGTTCTACTCGCGCTACCTCCCCACTGACTTAAATTGGCACTTAACAGCCACATCTCAAGGCCTGGCAGACTGCAAGGCGTGTATTCAATTTTAAATTTTTCTCCCATGGCTCTGCCTATTGTTGAAATGCGTTACCCTTGTATTTTACACAAGGGCATTGAAAATAACGATTCCCAGCCCTGTCTTACCGTCTACTTGCAATGATCCAGGTCACGCTGACCCCTCAGAGCTCTACCAACTCATCTGCATCTCGCCTTGCTGCCTGTGTAGATGAGATCTCATCACTGATTCACAATCGTAAGATGAGCAGGAGAAGAACAGAAGTTACATTTTCTGTCCTGGGTTTTTGGGGTTGCCTTTTCCATAACAGTCCTATCTCACTGCCTGCCAATTCCTCCCCAGTCTACCACTGAGACTAGAACTAGTGAGAAATAGGATTGCTGGATGGAGTGGGAAAGGTCATGCAAGTCCCTTACTGCTTTTGGAGGCTGGACATACTTGACTGTTGTGCTTAGTTCCTACAAGAAAATTGTGATAGCTTCTGAGAAAAAGGGGACCTTTAATAACTAAAGTGTGAGAGAGTTGCATGGGTTAAAGACCCCATACAGTGTAATCTTTTACTCTGCCGTATTTGCATAAGGATGACTGTACCAACATGGTAGGCTGCCTTTTTTTGGTAGAAAAACTACTTGATTTGTACTGTTTCCTCATCTAGGATCTTAATGCAGCGTATACATTTGATGAGTGAATCGGATCTCCCTCTCTCTCTTCCATTCCAAAGAAACCCTTTGTTCCCCTCGTCCCCTCTTCCCCAGGCGCCAGCTCATAGGCAGATGCTGTCCAAAAGGATTCTGCAGTCGGAAAGTTACTCCGCTCTTCTTTTAAAAATTTGGAATTATTTGTCGTAATGCTCTAACTGCTAGAACTGTATTTTATTTGCTTGCCAGACATTTACTCCTTTTAACAGATTCTGCTTTTAAGGAAAAACAAAGCAATCCAATCTGAAAATACTCTCTGAAAAGGAAAATGCAAAAACAAACAAGCAAAAAAAGGTCAACAACAATAAGACTGGTTGAATATCCTGTATTTTTAACTGATCATGTTTGAATGTCTAAGGAAAGAAAAAAAGAATTTATTGTTCTAATTATCCAGATGTATGTATGTTTGTAAAATAGCTCTTATTAGCTGATAAGGTTGTATGTTTTTGGAACAAAATATTGATCATTAAAAAAAGTATTGAGTTTTGTGGGTGTTTTTGGATTCTGGGGAACATTCAGATATCAGTAAATAAGGTTAAAAGAGGCAACATTTGACTGTGGTGTTCTTCACATTGTTCAGAACTTGACAGCAGAAGCTGTCACAGAAGTTATTGACAGGCAAATAAATTGGTCTTTACTCGGTACAATTTACCTTTCTGAGTCAGCAACACAATTATGAAAGATTGCATTTTTTCTCCCAGGGTCAGTGCTTAATATAATACATGGAATAGCTGTAGCTGGATGGTACAGCACGTTTTCCGAGACCCACAGTCACCTCTCTGCATCTTGATCTTAAATGTTCTCGGATTGTGAGCTGGGAAGACTTAAGTCTGTCAAGAGCTGCTGATGCTCAGCAGGCACCAGTTTGGATAAAGGAATGTTTCTAAACCAGGCCAAAAAGGTTATTTTATTCTGGTGCATTTGGTATCTTCAGTTTCGTGGACCAATATACCCAAAGGGTCTGGGAGATAGCAATTTCAGTTTGTTTCTCAAGTTCTTTTTAGGCAAAGAACTTGCCCGAATACAAGCTACTGTCCTGCTGGATGATTCTGCTATCCTTGCTTACATGTTACGTGGAGTGGGGTGGACACACTCCAGTTAGGAACAACAGCCCATAAGGTTGATTTTTCTGAGCAACCTTCTGAGGTCCTTTTGGAGACCAGAGGTATTCCTGACAAATAAAAATGCTAGAGTTTCACGGCATTTTTAAATTTCCCATTTTTTATTGCTATGTGAGGCAGAGAACCAAGCAATAAGATTAATTGGACCAACAAACATGCATATTTTCTTCACTTGCTCAAATAATTTTATTTACACATATCAGTAGATGCCTAATAAGTTGCCACCCAGTTGTTTGTGTAAACAGGATGTTCAGAAGAGAGAAAAAAGCTTCCCAGAACAAGTGGTTTTCCCTTCCCTTCCCCCACGACAGCGCTTTGAAAATAAAGAGTAACACAACTATGGCAAAGGGACAGAATTCAGTATGTATGACGAACCAAGGACACCCTCTGTTCAAGGACAGTCTAGCTTGCTTGCAAGCGCAGCACGTTGCCCTAAAACATATGGAATGACAGTTCGAAGATTTGCAAGACCTAGGTGTCATTTTGTACATAATATTGCAACAAAGTCAAGGTTTATTCCTTAGTAAAACGTAGCTTCACTTTTCTATTTTAAAATGTTCCATGTGGCTTTACAGCATCGAAAAACTAGAAATATCAGGAAAAAAGTAATCAGTATAATTATGAAATGAAGAGACACTGCAACAGATAAAAACCTAGAGGTCCTAGGCTTGCTAGCTCAAAAGGAATCAAAGCCCACCCCGTGTCCATCTGCGCTGACTTGACGCACGCCCTTCCATCCGGCATTTCTCGGGACCCCAGGCTGGGACCGGAACCCGAGGCCCTCAGGAACGTGGAGGAAGGCCGTCCGAGCTGCACTTCAGCCTGTGTGGATCGGAGCTCACCAAGGATGGCTCTGCAACGGTTTAGCAAATACGCTAAGCTTAGGCAAGCAGTTTTTCCTCTCCTGGTTCAAGGTAGTGCTAAGACATAAGGAAACGGCCACAGTGAAAACATGCCGTGACGGAAATGGAGTCTCGTGCAGTTTTCAGTTTATTTTTTTCATTTTTCCTCCATCTTTCCCTGCTCTGGGTTCAAATGTGATTCGAGTAAAAAGGCCCCATGATTAACAGTAGCATCTACAGTCAGCTGCCTGTACTAGAGTATTTCCCCATCACTTCCTGTTTGCTCGTTTGAGCAGAAAAGCGTTTAAGAACACCACATCCAGTTTATCCTTCCATTAGTCTGAATGTGGGTTTCTATTCAACCAAATCGCTGCTTCTAACAATTGTCTGGGACTATTGAAATATTTGTAATCTTCCTCTGTATCCCTCTCCCCCTTCCTCATAATCTTCGTATAAAAGATGCCATTTATTTCTATGTAATTGTTCATCTGAGCCCTATTTTGCTTTTCTGACGATAAGCCTTTCTGTGTTATCTTGGACATTTTTCCTCTTGGCCATAGGATAGTGAAAATAATAACTGATGTAAGGCAGACTTTATTGTCGCCTTCTGTATTTTCCTAAAGCTAATTCTCTCAAACCTTAGCAGGAAGATGAATTGGGACAAATAATTTATTCATTTCTCGTGGCAGAGAAAAGCTACTTTGCTAGTTCCCTCTCCCTTTCATAGAGGTGTATCTATATTGGAGGAAGCTGGCAACAAGGCTTTTTGCAAAAAAAAAAAAAACCAAAAACCAAAATCTTGAAGAGAAGGTGACTTTCTCTCAGCTTCCAGGTTTTATTATTTTGGACCCAACTTCCAAAATTAATGAACTTGTATTCATTTCTCTTCCATCTTATTAGAACTGAACATCTTACGGAGTGTTGTCTTATGTATAGATCACTTGAAGCTGATGCTGTTCCTTTGGGGAAGTGAATTTTCTTAGCTATTACCTTCTTTTTAAAAATCAAACAGGAAAGGTGGGGGGCATTTTAAAATAGTAAAATCCTATCCACAGTTCTGCCAAATGACAAAATAACTTCTTTCAGGTATTAAGAGTTGCTCAGCAAGAAAGCTGGTGCAAATAGGACTGTTTGCCAGCTCTTTTGATTATGAGCATAATTTGCTTTCTTCTAAGTGGACGTGTCTTTGAAGCAACAGACCCAGCTTTGAATCTTGTCCAATTTTTAAAAATGTTATTAAATATTTACTGAGAGAAAATTTGCCCAAGGAGATACTGACAAACTGCATCTTCAACAATGAGTTGAAATCAAATGAATAAAAAGTTTGCCATGCATTGGTGCCTCTGGCAAATTTCCCAAGTCTTTCCACTCATCATCTACTACAGGACCCATAAGACATAAACTTTCCTCAAGGCAAGTTTGATTTCTCAGTACTACATGGACACATCCTGTTCTGGGGGGAAGAGAGAGGTTTGCCATTATCTTCTCCCTGCTGTCGTTATTTCCCAGTCCAGCCCACAATCATTGGATTTCCTTGTGGTCTCTCATCTTGAGTAGTATGCAGATCTAACCCTGCTTATCTGGGGAGGGGGGGGGGGGGAGGGGTAAAATTCAGCGGGAAACCCCTAAACTGCCCCAGGGGCCAACCCCAGAAGGAAAAAAACCAACCTGATTGGCCCAAAGTTGGCCTCTTGTTCTCATCTTGTGAAGATTCAGGATGGAAGACTCATTTTGGCTCATTTTGCAAATGCTGCGCACTTTTCCTGTCCATAGAGGAAATGGTGCTGTATGTTGGAGAGGGCTTTTAGGTTCTAGAGCAGCATTTCTCAACCTCAGGAACTTTAAGATGTGTGGGCTTCAAGGGAACTCCCCAATCCCCTTGTTTCCACCTTGAGATGTCTATAATAGGGAATGATTCAGGACTGGTCTACCTTGAAGTAATGTTGTAGGGATTCATTCATCATCATTTAAATGGATGCCAAGAGCTTTCTCACAGAGAGCAAAGCTCTATACGGTGAGGGGTTTGGACAGCAACTGAAGACTTAGCTGCACAGGAGTGACTCTGGGTGGGAGGGACTGTTTTCATATCCTTTTGTGGTATTAACCCTGGAAGCATCTGGTTGGACATTCTGGAAACCATGATGCTGAAACAG